TACTTTTACCAGTTTTACTGATGGAAGTAAACTTTCCAGCAGCATCAGGAAACTCCAACTGGATTTAAATATTTACCACTATTCCCTATGTTAAGACCAGTCAATGAGAATGAATGAAAGCGGGGTCAGATCATGTGTTAATACTTAAGTTATCTTCTCTGTATGTATTTGGCTTTTGGTTTCTAAAGTTTGTTATGCTACTTCGATGTTGCAAGAGACCTGGCTTGCACAAAACATGATTTCAGTGAGGTATTTCATTATGAAATACAGTCCTGCAGTAATCTCTGTGTAGAGGCCGGAGTAAACTGGCTTAGTGACACAAATAATGTTCAAGCCCTTGCAATGAAAACCTTCTAAATGCGGTTAAAACACCCCATTACTAATTACCATGATAACCAGTACAATTGCATGGATTTATAGTTTGTTGACTTGTTTGCTCCATCGTGACAACTGGTGTACTGAAGAGGCTCACTAAGCCTGTATAAAGCCCTTGGAAGTTTGTTTTTTCCATTTTCATTGCTTTTCAACACTAATTTATGGTCAATTTAATTCTTCTTTGACAAGAATTTACAGGAAAAAAAAGACTTCTGTCATGCCAAAGTGAAAATAGATTTCTACAAAGTAATGTCAGTTAATTAAAAATATAAAATGTTAAATTATTTACTCCGTAAAAAGGACTCACATCATTCAACACGTGTGCAGCTAGTTAGTACTAGAAGTCACACAATTATGGAAATGGAGCTCATCTGAGTGCATGAATGTGTCTCAGTGATTGTTGTATAAAGACATCTGTATGTGGAAGGTGGAACTCCGAGCAAATCTGTAAAAAGGGTGTTGAAAAGCATAAGTCAGGGGATGGGGTCCCTGACTATCTGTTGGAGTACCATTAAAATTCATCATTAAGAAATGGATTGAATACGGAACATACGTAAATTTATCTGGAGCCTGCCGTCCTCAAAAACCTGTGCAAGAAAGAGACAAGTGAGGGAGGCCACCAAGACATCAATGACTCCCCTGAAGGAGCTACAAGACTCGGAGAGAGACTGCAGACAGCATCTGATGCCCGTTCTTCACCAGGCAAAGAGAAAGCCACTGTTAAATATTAAATCTCCACCAGAGTTCACCAGAAGGCATGTGGGAGACTCTGAAGTCAGACCTAATGAGAGCAAAATTGATCTATTTGGCCATCAGATGAGATGTTTGATAGACACCAAACACTGCACATCATCACAAACACATTGTCTACACTGTGAAGCATGGTGGTGGCACCATCACGATGTGGGGGTGTTTCTCAGTAGCAGGCCCTGAAAGGCTTGTAAAGGTAGAAAATAAATGCAGCAAAATATATGGAAATCTTTGAAGAAAAACTGATACAATCGGCAAGAGAACTGTGACTTGGGAGAAGATTTGTTTTCCATCAAGACGATGACATAAAGCACACAGTCAAAGCTATGTAGAAATGGTTTAAAGACAAGACGGGGAACATGCTGGATGACCCAGAATTCAATGCAATTGAGAGATTGTGGTTGGACTTGAAAAGGGCTGTTCACTCATGATTGCAGTGCAGCGCCGACAGAGCTTGAGCAGTTATACAAAGAGGGAGGGATAAAGCTGCAGTATCCAGATGGGCAATGCTGATTGAAACCAGTCCACACAGGATCGACGCTGTAATTGCAGCCAAAGGTGCATCTACTAAATACTGACTTGAAGGAGGGGGGGAACACTTACGCAATCCTTTAATTTATGGGTTTTGATTTTTAATTAATTGACTTGGTAGAAACCTGTTTTCAATTTGACACGAAAGGATCGTATTTTACTAAATCCTTGCCAACAAAAACAAATGAAGTTGATTTAAAGTTGAAAAGCAACAAAAAAGGCAAACTTCCGGCTACTTTTTTTATAGGCACTGTATGTACTGGGCTCAGACTGTCTTGTATTGGCAGTAAACGGTGTTATCTGCCTCGTTACAAGTCTGCATAACATATTTTTACAACACTTCTTCCCATGGAGGGTAATCAGAAGTGGCAACCCTTTTTTTGGCAGTCTCCTGCGATCCTGGACACACATCAAAACACAAGCACCTCAGCAATCACCTCGAAAAGTGATGAGAAGTATGTGTGTAGCTTTTATTTGGCAGTGAAATTATGTTCTGCGAGCATATTAATAATCACTGCTAAACTAATGAATAATTTCTCGGGGCAGTAATTATCACCTAAACCGCATCACTCACAACATTACCTGCTGGCAGTGGGACAAGTCATCAAATCACGGTGCATATGACTGATGAGTTAAGGAGATTAAAGCCATTTGGGGCGACTGTGGATGTTTGTGCTGTCCCCAACACTTCTGCTGCTTCAGAGAGCTGCTAATATATCAAAATGCGACAGTAAATGAATCTGGCAGCCTCATCACAGAGAGGTCATGTGCGTCACAAAGATGGCAAACATGCAACATACTTAACAGTTGGTTAATTTTGCCTTTTCGATGATGGCTTTTCTCTCAGTGTAATTATTGGAACAATTGATTGGTCAGAGATTGGATTTGTGTAATTTCTTTAGCCTGAGTATGTACGTATGCGCGCCCCTTGTTGAGTGTGATGACTTCAACAAAACAGGAAGCTTGGTTTGCAGTGACAGGATGTCGAGTATTGTTGCAATACTAGGAATTTGAAGCGCGGAAGGCTGGGAGGGAACATGTGCCTGATTATTTCTGCTATTTAGAGTTCCTGAGATCAAAAAAGAATTTTCTGTGATGAGGTCAGAATGGTTTTGACAGCTTGTTGTGTCACAGTACAGTTGCGATGAAGAATGTGTGTGTGCACATAAATATTAGATATGGGTGTTTGCAATTGGGTGTTTGCATGAATGTTCTTTCTTCTAGTTGTTTATTGTAATAAGTATGAAATATAGGAAGGTGTGTGTGGCTGCATGAATAGGTTGTGTATTACCTCATAACAGCAAACATGTGGAAAAGTTGAATTTAAGCTTCAACATTATGTAACTGTAAATTCTGCACTCATCAAGGTTTTGGATAAGAAAGACAAGAGTATTGTTGCGAGAATTTGGTTCCTTCTTCCTTGAGCAGTTGTCTGAAATGTTCTGTGCAGATTGTAAAACCAGAGCACTAAGAAGACAATACATTTTGCTGCTGCTTTGACAGAATTTTGTCGACATCTGCAAGCAGATAAAATCAGAACTGTTGCTTTTAACATGATTAAGATTAAAGGTGCAAAAAGTAGCCACACAGTGCAAAACTATTCGATGAGTATATATCTGTGGTTCCGTTGCTACGGCTGCAGAGATTTTTTTGGCTTTGGGTGTTTTATCATCAGCTTTGGAAGTAATTCTTAAATGTATTAGATTTGTTAATGTTCAGAAAAGCAATAAAAGAAATGTGTTTAATTGCATCTTCCATTACAGAATTACATAACAAGACCCGCTCATTTGTAATAATTACACTTGTATGCAACTTCTCGGGTCCCCCTCAGGTTATAAAGTCAGATGCAATGAAGCCTCTGTTTTTCTGCTCGTTAAAGCTTTGTTTGTGTTGGAGGACACTGATGACCCCATTCTGTGTATTTTTTTCCCCCTCCTGTTTTTATGCGGCAGGTAGCCCCTTAAGGGCATGTCTACAGACCACTGATATATGGTGACAGTCACCCTGTAGATGCTCTTTACAGTTTTTTTTTATGTTCATCCTGTGGAGCGAGATCAGAATGAGAGAAGAGAAAAGGAAAGAAGATAGGGCGTCTCAATCCTCCTCTATTTCCTCTTTCAAATCCACTGCAACTCCTTCTGTGTTTCGTCTCCCTGCAGCCACTGAAGTATGTTCTTGCTGAGCCTCCAGATAACTCACTTTCAAGGATCAACACAAGTGTGCGCACACACTCGCCACATTAATGCTGCCATCCAGCTTTAGCTTTGCTGCAAATCCCATACCGACAAGCCTTTAGCAGATGCTGTTTACTTTATAGATTTTTTTTAAAAATCCAAAATTAGTGAAGCGTATCTACTGTGCAGAGCTACAGTCTGTCAACCGCTAATCACCATTTTTATTTCTTTGTTTATTTCACAGTGACCCCTGACTGGCCATATGTCTGCATCTTCTTGTATCGCTGGTTCTTTTGTATGCTGGAAAATATCCCCTGGCTATATGTCTGGTTGCTTAACACAGCTTTTTACATGTTATATAACCAAACCTCCACAGGGAACTGATGCAAGCTTCTCAGCAACAGGTATTGCGGTCACCTCTACTGCGCCAGCAAAGAACAATTCCAGATTACAGGGTCTGAATAATGGAAGTGTGGGGGAGCTTGCAAACAGACCTCCCCTAAAGAGGTGGGCCCTGACAAATGTACGTCTAAAGTTCATTGACAAAATTCACATCAGAGCAGTCGATCATTATTGCATTAAAGACCTCACCCTGCAGAGCTGATAAAGTAAAAAAAAAAAACTGTGCTGTCTTACCCCCACAGCTGCCAGTAACTCTTAATGCCTATGTCACCCTAAATAACTTATCAATCACTTAAACTATAATTGCAGGGGGTAAATAAACAAAGTTTGATCGATAAACTGTAAAACCAAGGAGGCACCAGTTGGCAGGTAAAACAACAGTTTTAAATGATTACAATGGAAAATTAATGAGGTACATTTTGTTCTGCAACACAAGTCTGTTGGCATTTTTCTATGCTGAACATGAAATGCTGAAAAACGTTGAATATGAAAAGAGAGAAAACAACAAAGTGTATTAAATCAAACGCAACAAGCCCAAAGGCTCGCCTGAAGAGAAGCACTTGCTGTTTCAAAGAAGTCTGAAATCCAACTAAAACAATTCTCCCTCTCTCTCTCTCTCTCTCTCTCTCTCTCTCTCTCTCTCTCTCTCTCAACTTTGGAGATGGGTTGGTCTTCGCAGTGATGTCACCTCACTCCTGTGTGGACATTCGTTCCACCCGCAGTGTGCGCTTCCCGTTCGTCTCCAAAGGGACGCAGTTCTCCAAAACCCAAAAGCAGCATTACGCATGGCGCCGTGTCTGACATCGGAGGAGCGACTTTTACCGTGGAGCCTTTGTGGATTGTGAACTGTGTTCTTCCCACATTTGTGATGCGCTCGGAACTTTTTGTGCGTGTCTAGAACTATCTGAATCAAATGTGATGAAGGCTTTGCTATTTCAGAGGATCATTTTTTGCAGCTTTTGCGTCTCATGTAGGCTTGATCAGGAGCGTTACGCGCAGCCTGTCTCCATGCAGCGCAGCTGTTTCAGAGAGGAGAACTGTGCCAAATAACAAAAATGATACGAAAGGAGCATTTGCAGCCAGAATGGATTTAACCCAGCTAGATCTACTGGTGGAAAACGTTTCCAACAATGAGAACACCACTGGCGCACCGTTTGCTTTGCCACACACGGAGGTAGCCACTGCGCTCATCATCCTGGTGGTTACTGTGATCATTTCTGTGACCATTGTCGGTAATGTTTTGGTGATTGTAGCGGTGCTCACCAGCCGGGCTCTCCGTGCCCCCCAGAACCTTTTCCTCGTCTCTCTGGCATGTGCGGACATCCTGGTGGCCACGCTGGTCATCCCCTTCTCCCTCGTCAATGAGGTGATGGGCTACTGGTACTTTGGAAGTACTTGGTGCGCCTTCTATCTGGCTCTGGATGTGTTGTTCTGCACCTCATCCATCGTGCACCTGTGCGCCATCAGCCTGGACCGCTATTGGTCCGTGACAAAGGCGGTGAGCTACAACCTGAAACGGACACCGAAGCGCATCAAGTCCATGATCGCCGTTGTGTGGATAATATCTGCTATCATCTCATTCCCTCCTCTCCTCATGACCAAACATGATGAGCGGGAGTGCTTGCTGAACGATGAGACCTGGTACATTCTCTCATCGTGCCTCGTGTCCTTCTTCGCTCCTGGTCTCATCATGATTCTGGTTTACTGCAAGATCTATAAAGTGGCCAAGCAGCGCTCCTCCACCGTGTTCGTGGCTAAGAACGGCCTGGAGAGGCAGCCCTCTCAGTCAGAGACCTGTTTTGTCAGGAAGGACCGGTTCGAGATGGAGAGCCCGAGCAGCCAAAGCTCCGGGAGCCAGCAGCAGGGGCAGGGGGAGCTGGATGACATCGACCTGGAGGAGAGCTGCTGTCAGTCGGATACTAAAACCCGCCACCACCGCTTCACCAAGCGAAGGAAAGTGGAGGGATCGGACTGCTGCCCGCCACAGAACTGCCGTCTCTCCTGGGCTTCGGCCCGGGCGTTACAGCTCTACCCGGAGCAGAAGAATCCAGTTGCGCGACAACAGCTGGCAGCGGCCAACAAGACCAAAGTGGCCCAGATGCGGGAGAAGCGTTTCACATTCGTACTGGCGGTGGTGATGGGGGTGTTTGTTCTCTGCTGGTTCCCCTTCTTCTTTACCTACAGTCTGCATGCTATCTGCAGAGACAGCTGCTACATTCCTGGCGCACTTTTCAACCTTTTCTTCTGGATTGGCTACTGCAACAGTTCTGTGAACCCCATAATCTACACTATTTTCAACAGGGACTTTAGAAAAGCCTTCAAGAAAATCATATGCAGAACTTCAAAACGCACATAAAGGGGTTCCAGTTCTTTTGTTTTGCCCCTCACTCAACAGTACTGGGAAGGAATTGTATTATTATAACTCATTGTTCTTGGCTGACTGTCTACTTTCCCTTCATTTTGATGTAATAATTATGATATTGAAAACCAAGCCAGTGTTGTACAAACATTTAAGTGTCTATGAATAAAATTCATACGGTGGAGTAAAACAAAACTAAAATATCTTAAGTCTGTCAGTGTTGCAAACCTGATCAAATGTGATCAGGCCTATTTATGCTACCTGAGATATGAGATGTTTTAGTGCGTATCTCTGAATAAGAAATCCCTGCTGGCTTAATTCTGCAGCAAGCAGGAGAAAAGAGATACTTCATTTGAAGTCATGTACGTAGTTGATTCCAGTGCTGGCAGCTGGTTCACAGTGGGTGTTTTGTGTTGAGATAAAAAGAAGATTAATCACCATCTTTAACATATGAACATGAGGATGAGCAGGAAGGCAAGCATCGCCTGTGAGCGTGTGTCACGGAATAAGAAAGTGTAGGATGCTGCACGGTTGGAATGTCTCACAGTATTACAGGTATTTCATACACATGGATCTTTCTTTACTTGCTGAATCGGAAGCCACAGTGAGGCTCGCAGCCATTTCTTATCAGTGAACCCGCAAACTTATGTAAGAGTCTAATCTCACACCCCCCCCCTCGCCACATCATTTCACCACCTCACACCAGAACAATGGCCAAGCTGAGGCCCATGTGTGTGTGTGTGCAGAATTCACTGGATCAATCGCTGTATTTCATGTCAATACCTCACAACAGCTTGTGAGTAAATGTTTAAAATGTATGAGGTCCTGTAAAACCTGGATTCAGTGCTGTAAAACAGGAATTTAAATTGAGGTTATGGTCTCCCATAAATATCTCTTTCATTGAGGTGCCAAAACTATTTTTTTGTTTTGTTCACAAAAAGTTTTTGGCAGAATAGATTGGTTAGGTATATTGGAGGAAAGACACCGTAGAAATACAAACAGTCCTGTTCCCTTCTTCCTACTAAATAACATCTCTGGACACAGTTATTGCAATTGAGAGCATCAAATCTCTTAGGCACAAGAAGAACATTTACAGGTCAAGTCTAAGAATGTGCTTTATTAAAGCTGTGTTATCACATGTATAGTCTTATAAATCTTGACTTCATTATCTTTCTATCTAGTTTCAAATGTGCTGGAGGAATTCCCACGAGGAACAAATCAGCAGCCTATATGGGGAAAAAAAACATGAAGCGATTTATGATGTAAGTGACATACATGAAAAGGGAGCGCTGTGGTCAAATGCAGAGCTGGATTTGAACTTCACAGCACTGTTTTCCATACAGCTTCAAACTGCAGTCAGCTCATGATGAATGTGGGATATGAAGTGTATGTAAAACGTTGAATATATCATGGAGCCTGCACGCTGAGGCTTCTCTGGGAAAACTCTGGTTAGTGAGAAGGAGGCTGACCACGTCTATATCAGTGCATTGTCTGCAAAGGGATGCTGAGGATAAATACACTATTTATATCCTCTTAGGAATGTCTTCAAAGAACTCCTACAGCTCGCTGGCACCTTGCCAAAGATAATCATCCCGTCTGAGGGGTGTCATGCTCACAAAGAAAAATTTAATGTGTTTTTTCTGATGCTAATATTCATGAGGGTATTGTTAAATTATCATCAAGGGAAATAAAAGTGAAGGTGGTTGCATATTTCCTTTTCCTCTTGACGTGCATCGCCGTTTTATTTATGAACACAATTAGAAAAGTCTGAGGGAAGTGGGGCCGCTGTCGAGGAGGGAAAGTTTATCTCCAAGGGATTCGCGAAACCCTCGAAACAAATGAAATGTCAGGGCCGAGTCGCGCTCACAAGAGGCGATAAAATTAGCTTCGCATCTTCATCATCTTTAGCAGGATGGAAGTGATGTTTATTTATGTGTAACTTAATAAGATGTTATTGTTCACATATCACATGTAACCTGATTTCTCTGGAGGAAGCAGCCATCAATTCATGTTTCATTACCCGAGGTGGAAGTATTTACATGAACACTCACATGTAATCTTCTTACCAATAATACACTGATTAGTATCCGACTAGACGTGCAATTCCCTTGTTAAATCACACATCCCTAATTCAATTGTTTTTTCCAATCAGCTTATCCGCTGCAGCAAGAATGGAGCACAGTGCTTTTAATTAGCTGTAGTGTTTTGTGTTACTTTCATGTGTAATTTCTCAAGGCATGTCTCCTCAAATACAGCTCTGGTGCATCTTTTGTCGCTGTGTTGCATAATAATCTGGTATCCCACATGACAAGACATGGATCTTTAACAGTCCTTCATTACATGCTCCGGTAATTACATTTTAATTCAAGACAAAACTGATGGTGTTTGTGATTTGTTGGTTTGCAGTTCTGCAGTCTACACTTTCAACGACCACGTCTTATATTTACCCCAGACTGTAAACAAAGTTGGAGACTCGTTCAGGAAGAGAGGCAGAGCTGCAGCGACCCTTAACCTCCAAAACTTTTCTTCTAGAGGCTTAATGAGATCAACAGACCAACAGGACACAGCCAAAGCATTTCCTCGTGTGGGGCGCTGAAGCAAAAAAAGCTTGATCTGGGCCTCTTGATAGGGAAAGAAGGATGATTAGAGCTGTTTAGGGTGAGCACTTAGGGCAAGACTATTTGCAGTCACAATAGTCAGAGAAGAGATTGTTATAAATGCTTCAAGAGGGCTGAAGAAAAGCAGCCTCTTAGGAAAAGAGAGAGACCGGCGAAAAGAGCAGTCGCTTATTGTCCTCTGCTACATTACCTTGTTTGTCACATCACAGCATCTGCAGGTAATTGCTTTTTTCAATTGTCTCTAACAAGATAAGGTTTGGAGGCGAGCAAGGCCAAAACCAGCGTCAATCCCAGGAAGCTGGAGAAGAACAGTCAGTTTGTCATTAGTGTAAATCAGCTGTTGTCATGTTGAAGCGAGGGTCAGGACTGACCTCACTGCCTGCCGGCTGTTCTAATATATCACGCTGTTTAACGCAACCAATATCTGACTTGAGGTGTCAGAGTAAATCAGAAGAGCGCCACGCTAAATTGGAGATGACAATCAGATTACTCACCTCTGTGTTTGCATCTCCGGTTTCAAACAGATGCAGATGGCATGAGAAGATTCGAGGTGTGTTTTTAAAGTAACTTTTATGATCAAAGTGTGGACGCTGACGAGCAAAAGTTGTCACAGAGAGGGCCGGATATAATGCAAAAGAACAAAAAAACAAACTCAGCTTCTTCAGCAGAGAATTTGTAAAGTAAGATCATATTCTATATTTACATTCATTTCAGTGAACACAAACAACATTTATGTTAACTCAATTCAGCAAACACCTTCCTGCTGCTGCAGAACACCAAATCCACAACTATGAATGAGCCCCAAATAAACTTATTGAATGTTTGTAAAAAGCTACAGCACTGAGGAGTTTTAAAAAAATTAAATCGATTCCTAGTTTTAATCTTGTCATGTGATTTGCAGTCTGTAATAAAGATGTGAACTACTGCCTGACTTATCCTTTTAAAGCTCAAAAAATAAAAAAAGAACAAACAACAAATGGAGAAATCAGTCTAACAAGGTGCCTGAAATGAAATTTCTCATCTGGGCTGTATATTTACGTCGTGCTTTGTGGCAATAACACTGTGAAACTAAATAAAGTTTTCCTCTTATTGGTTGTTGTGAAAAAAGAAACAACTTTGAGGTGAAATCAATGACTTTATAGTGTGCTGGAAAACTTTTAGTCCCAAAATGTGCAATCATGGTATTTCATTAATGGAATTATCTCTTCTCTTGTTCGGCTACCTGCCTTGTTTGTTATCCTGCGTGAGGGACAAAAAATTTTAAAAGTTGGTTTTCAAGAAGAAAACTGGATAAATAATGTCTCTCTGCTTCACTGTCTTTTACTTTCTGAGATACTGAGTTCATCTCCTTGCAACATTCTTTCTGTGGGAATTAAATCCTCTTTTGTTTCCATTCACAGGCAATATTTCAACTCTAACAGAACATTTGTGCAGCTGATTTATTTTTTCAGGGATTGTTTTGTGTGTGCTGCGTATCTCTCATGATTGCAGCTGGAAGACGATATTCTAGGTGTACTCTAGTGCTGCCCTTGTTCCAGTGCTTAGAATACTGGTATGATGATATTATCTGCTGGACCGTGGTGCATCTCACCTCCACTTTGTTATCTGTAAATGCACACATCGCCAGCACCCTCCTGTATGTTTGTCCATTTAACACTTTGTGGTATAGTAAGGACAACATTAAAGGACACCTATGACCTGTGGTAGATGGGAACTCATCTAAAAAGAGGACATGGGGAGTCTTACCATTGTGCAAAAGTATGTTACTACTGCACCAGAGGGGCACAACAGCACCATTATGGAGTAACGCCAGTATTTTGATTATTAATTTCATACAAAGCCCAACCCAGTGCTAATTATAATAACTGTAGTCTAATAAAAAACACATTTTTTAATATGGTGTACATCATAATCATAATAACAACAGGCAGGAGTAAGCCCTACTGTAAGTTAGTCTTAAGAAGAGATTTAAAAGAAGAATGATGTGTTTGCCTGCCTAAAGACTCAAACCAGGGAGTTCCACAGCTGAGGGGCCCAAACAGCAAATGCCTGGTCATCTTATGTGAGAAATTCCAGTTCTAGGCCAGCTAGGATTGGAGCAATATGTTAGCTTACCTTAAGGTGTGTTCGAAACACAAACAAACCTGTAAGCAGCATTTTGATGACTGGTTCACATGGACGAAGTCTGCAGCAGCGAGGGATGACCTGATCTTGGTTAGCTGCCGCAGTGAGGCAAAGCAAGATGGCACCACTTTGGTCACTTGAGTAGAAACTTACAGTCAAGAATAACACCGAGGTTGCAGGTTCTTTGTAAACATTACTTGAAAAGGGTGAGGTGAGGTTATTAATGCTGGTAGAATTTTCATTTAACAAGGCGGCACATCGTATGAGAGACATCAGGCTTTAGCTGGACATACAATTGGGTGTCATCAACGCAGCAATGGAAATCAGTGCTATATCTATGCAGTATACGCCCCAGGGATAGCATGTATACATTAAGCAGAAGGAGACCCAAAATAGGCCCCTGGGGGACTCCACAGAGGAGATGAGCACAAGAAGATGAGTAATCTCTAAGTGTAAGGAAAGAATCATAAAGAATCATAGAAATGTTCTTGTCTTTTAACCTTTTAGAGCGGGGGTCCCAAAGTAAACCACAAATAGAAAAGTTAAAACAAATAGAATAGAATAGAATAGAATAGAATAGAATAGAATAGAATAGAATAGAATGCTTTTTATTGTCATCATACACAAGGTACAACCAAATTTAGCCACAATTGTTACAAAAGAGAGAGAAAAGCTTCTCTGTATGTTTGCTCAGGACGATACATTAAGATTACTTTGACTGATAGTGTCTAATTGTCATTTTGATGCTTGGCAGCTAAAATGTTAAGGATCCTTTGCTTTAGAGGATTAATGCTATAAATGTTATTTTTTGTAATTTTACTTTATCAAAGTACAAGCTGCTGGAAGTGCTTTCTTTGTGTACTAAGTTGAAAGAATTCTTGTGCTGGCACCTGCAGCAGCAATAAAGATCTGCTCAGTGATGTTTGGAGCCCAGGAAGGAAAAATATTAGAAAAAATGATAATGAGCGTAACTGTAAGCAGTTTGACCAACATAAAAGAAAAGTACATGTAATTTTCTCAAGCTGAAGAGATCAGTTCTTGTGTTCTTCTCAACAAACAACAACCCTTCATTGCTGCTCTGCCCCAGTTTCAGTGAGTAAGAAGGGTGGGTGTATATGCTGTAGGTATGATGAAGGTTCCCTACGCTTGTCTTTGCCTTTGGCCTCCAAGTAAGTGAGTGCACCCCTGGGTGAGGCTGTAACACTCCACAGCAGGAGGTGTTTTAATCATGCAGATGCACTCGTCTGTGATTCTTCAGGACAAGAATCCCCGCTGAAGAGGACATGCACTTTG